ATCAAGAGAGGAGGTAGGCTTAAATGTGCAGCCTTTGAGTCCCACACCAAGGGACAAAATCCCAGTTCTACCATTCATTAAATAGATGACTTGGAGCAAGTAACTTGACCTCTCTTATCTGGGTTTCCTCATATTTAGAATAGGGTAAAAGTAGTATGTCTCATGTTGTTTAGGTGCTAAGTTGTGTCCAACTCTTTTGTGAAGCCATAGACTGTAGTCCACCAGGCTCCTCTGTTCAGGGGATCTCCCAGGCAAGAATACTGGAGTGGATAGCTGTTTCCCTCTCCAGGTGATCTTCCCAACCCAGGGATGGAACCTTCATCTCCTGCATGTGTCTCCTGCACTGCAGGCAGATTCTTTACCACTGAGCCACTAGAGAAGTTAACCTACCAATGTAGACATGTTTAGTTTAATGCCTGCCGTGTTTTAAGAACTCAGTCAATATTAGCTGAGGCTGTTGTCAGTGTTAGTATTCCCATTATATAGTCCACCTGAGCTCGCAGGGCAAGGACATGGGAGTTTGTACAGGGCAGAGTAAGAGGTTCCTTTTCAACCAAAGCAATTCAGTTCAGTCGCTCAGTCATGTCCGACTCTTTGTGACCACATGGATGCAGCATGCCAGGCCTCCCTGTCCATCACCAACTCCCGGAGTTTACTCAAACTCATGTCCATTGAGTCGGTGATGCCATCCAACCATCTCATCCTCTGTCATCCCCTTCTCCTCCCACCTTCAATCTTTCATCAGGGTCTTTTCAAATGAGTCAGCTCTTCGCATCAGGTGGCCAAAGTATCGGAGTTTCAGCTTCAACATCTGTCCTTCCAATGAATATTCAAGACTGATTTCCTTTAGAATGGACTGGTTGGATCTCCTTGCAGTCCAAAGCAATATCCCTCTATTATCTTCAAACTTCAAGAGACTTCAGTTTATTTTTGTTACTGATATTTCTAATAACTGTCTGTCCACTTAATTGCATCATGCCCTGGTTTAAGGAGTGATTTTACTTTGAAGGAATCTAGAAAAGAATGTGATTCTAATGAGATTTGGTAAGAAAATCTTGTTCCAAAGACGGTGATATGAAGAAACCTATTGTGAAAAGTTCACAGATTTCAACACTGTTATTCAGAGCCTGAAATTAGAACTAAAATGGCAGTCATGATTAATAAGTTGAAAGTATGCATTTGTATGATGATGTTTCATAGTTACAAAGCAACAATTCAAACATATTTTGAAGATTTGATAATGAGACAGATGCTTCTGTTTTTATCTCTTATAATCATGGTCAGATAGCTAGGAGAAACAGTAGAGATTATTATCTGGTTTCCTGAATTTAGTTCTCATTATTTTGAAGAAAATAGGTTTTTTTTTATAGACAAATTGTATTGAGGTTCAGGATAGTCTATCACCTGCTGAGGCTTTGTGTATAGGATGTCAAAGATCTTTTAGAATTTTGAGACTTTCCTTATACAATCATTAGAGTCTTAAGTTTCTTGTTGAATATTAGTTCCCTACTGGTAGAATATATATTTCTACATATATTTGCATTAGGATAATATCTAGTTAAAGGAATCATTATCCACCTAAATTACAAAACTCAAAAGCACAGGCTTATTCTCAATTTACTCTCTTCATCATTGTATGGTCATTTATCAAGGATGGTTATTTTATCAGTGTACCCTGAAATTGTTCTCTCTCTAGTTCCTTCTGGCCTAGTTTAGTTGAAGATTCAGACATTCATCCATATAGGAGCTGGTGACCATCATAAACAAAGAAAGACAGAATTCCTGAAAATGATAGTGAGTAGTAGGATCCTGGCAAACTGGGGACCAAATGCCCTTAAAGAGCATAGCCAGCAACCAACTAAAGAGGATATATGAAACTCATTCAGTGTCAGCATACAAAAATGGGTGTAACTCATGGATGGTCAATTTACAACCTTTATTTTACACTCTCATCACTTTTCTCTTGTAATGCGGCAGTGACTCCTGACTTTAGCTATATTTGTGTGTAATCCATCCTGTATCCTGGCACCATGAGGTGTTTTTTAGGCTCCAATGATAATTGTGTCACTCTCCTCTTAAAAAAAAAAAAGAGGGCATCACCACATTGAATGCTGCATAAAATGCAAAGGTCAAATTCTCTATCATGATTTATAAAGGGTCCTTCTTGGATCTAGCCTCTTATTCTATTTTTAGTCTCATCACCCACCACATGCATAATACTTCACAAATACAAAGTTATGTAACTTTGTCCAAGTATGACACGCTATTGATGATCCTGTGCTTGTTCTTACTGAAATTTCCCCCCTACCTTGTCCAACTGGTGGACAACCATCCTTAAAGCTTTACTTAGGCCATCAGTCAGTCAGTCAGTTCAGTCGCTTAGTCGTGTCCAACTCTTTGCGACCCCATGAATCGCAGCACGCCAGGCCTCCCTGTCCATCATCAACTCCCAGAATTTACTCAAACCCGTGTCCATCGGGTCGGTGATGCCATCCAACCATCTCATCCTCTGTCGTCCCCTTCTCCTCCTGCCCCCAATCCCTCTCAGCATCAGGGTCTTTTCCAGTGGGTCAACTCTTCGTATGAGGTGGCCAAAGTACTGGAGTTTCAGCTTCAGCATCAGTCCTTCCAATGAACACCCAAAGCACCTCTCCAGAGCCTCCCTGCTCATGCACACTTGCTAGACTATACAACAGATGGTCCTCAAAATACAGCTCTCCCTAGGTGCCTTCCACATGTCACCGATCTCTTCAAGTTTTTACTCCATATCTGCCTACTTTATTAATTAGCTTCTATCCTCTAATGCACAAACCTTCTCTGACTCTCTTTTATCTTTCTGGTGTCTGGCAGAGTACTTGGCATGTAGTGTGTGTTCTGCATTGTGTGTGGATCTGAATATCAACTTCTTGCCACATGCTTTCCATATTCTGTTATGAAGATGGTAAAAAAAAAAATGATGAATATTTTTGTGACCACTTCATGCAGGGACAAAATTACCAAACATACTTTATCTCCAAGGCAATGACTGTTTTTATTAATCCTTTAAAGCATGCAGGGGTTTTATGTTTTCATGTTCACTTTATTCTGGAAATCTCCAAGTTGGCATGATCAAGGAGAAAACACTGTTTAGGAAAGAGGGCAAAGCTCCCATAAATCCCAGTTGTGGGTTGATTTCAGAAAACACTAATACATATGATGTCACCCAACTGCTGACTGATTGGACCGTATCAGGCAGTATCTCCACTGGTTGTGTTTAATGGGCATTTATATAGTGCTCGGCTCATGATGCTGTTTGAAGCAATATTCTCTTTCCACTACATCGAGTATACGGTTCATAATTTTTTGACCTCTCTGATTTATATGTCTGTTTACCACAGCTTTGTTTTGATATCAGAAACCATTAATCCTTCAAAGTCCTGCAGTTGTAATGTTAACTGCCAGCAGCATTGATTTGCAATTGGCATGAGAGTATGCTTCAACCCTTTTATAATATTTCTGATTTGTTCTTACCACTGAAATCCTCAAATATAGAATTCTCCCTTACTCTTCAACAAAAATATGCTCACTCAAACAAAAGATGAGCCCTCTAATATAGACCTTTGAGTTCATTTCCTTGGTTTTACTTCAACCTTTTAGTTGAGGCTTGTGTTTCATGACTCTTAGTTTCCCTATTGATGAAATACAATGAATAACTATTGTTCCTGAATTATTTTTTACTTGTCCATAATCTAATATATATGCTATGTATACATATAACACATATGTATACATGTGTAAGGGTGTCCATGGTGGCTCAGTGGTAAAGAACATGTCTGCCAATGCAGACAATGTGGGTTCGATACGATTGAGTCAGAAAGATCCCTGGCAACCTGCTCCAGTATTCTTGCCTGGGAAATCCCACGGACAGAGGAGCCTGGCAAGCTACACTCCATGGGGTCTCAAAACACTCAGACATGACTTAACAACTAAACAACAACAAACAGTACATGTGTATATGTACATATACATATGTATGTCTGTATATTTGGGGAAGATCCAGTTATAGCTCTTGTTGGCAATCAGCAATACATTTTATTTTTAATTACATATATGTTTTATGAAGAAAACATATTAAAGGCTAATTTGAATGTCTTTATAAATGATGTACTTTCACTTGTAAGTTCTCACAGTGACTACTAATGTCATCAAAACCAATTTTTAAATTACAGGCTTTTAATGCCCCTAGGGTATATTTCATTTTTTGTATAATTAGTAAGAATAAGGGCTTCCCAAGTGGCACTAGTGGTAAAGAACCTACCTGCCAATGCAGGAGACACAAGAGATGTGGGTTTGATGCCTGAGTCAGGAAGATTCCCCTGGAAAAGGGCATGGCAACCGATTCCAGTATTCTTGCCTGGAAAATTTCATGGACCAAGGAGCCTGGTGGGTTACAGTCCATAGTGTCACAGAGAATTGGACATGACTGAAGCGACTTAGCACGCACGCAATAATATAATTCTTCAGTCTTGATAGAATCTATAATGGTGATTTTGCCTCCATTAAACCTTTATATGAAATACTTTTGAAAAGTATGGATAACTGAATCTGTTTGGAATAGGTGTATGGGGGAAGGTGACATGAAACAAGATATTGAGAAGAAAACAAGAATATGTGGATCAATCCAAGTACATGTTAGGCAGTCTATTAGGACACATTCATTCTCACTAATGAAAGTGTTTGCAAAAGAATATAAAGTACCTGGGGAGGGGGGAATGATCTAACAATTAGCTCATGTGCAGCTAATCCATTCTGCTTTTATAGGTCTTTCAGGAATAAAAGCCAAAAGCTATCTGTGGTTTGCTTTTTAACATCTGCCTTTTCCCTAATTTTGGAAATATTATCAAATTTTGACATCACTTAGATAAATCAAGCACTTACACCTGAAAGCTAGGAAACTCCTTTTTTTGACAATAGAAAACCCTAAGCATTAACTGCTTCTTTGGGAATTTGGTGTTTTTCAGGGAATGATGTACCTGGAAGAAAGACGGCTTGTTCATCGGGACTTGGCAGCCCGTAATGTCTTAGTGAAATCTCCAAATCATGTGAAAATCACGGATTTTGGACTAGCCAGACTCTTGGAAGGAGATGAAAAAGAGTATAATGCTGATGGAGGAAAGGTGAGTATCTTTTTTTTTTTTCCTTGAGTGAGTATCTTTTTGAGAGCAATATTACTTGAAAATATAGTGTAATATCCTTTTATCTCCTTATATGTTATAGAAAGAAGCCAACAAACCTGAGGTTTAAGTGATTATAAAATCTTATTTCTACTATTTTCCTTCTCTCCTACCTACAGTAATATATATACATATATATACACACACACACATACATACATACACATATATACAGAACTATATATACATATAGTTGTATACATGTACATACACAAACATACAGACACATATATATTAATAGAATATTTAAAATATATATAGTATGTATTACCAACTTCCATTTTTCAAGGATCTAAAATACGATGAGTGTCTGGATCCAAGTGGTCTTTATGTCAGTTCCAGTGTTGGGGAGTGGGTAGCTCCCAAGAAACTCTAAAGATTACATTTTAATCCAGGGCCATATAAATTGTTTCATTGATCCTATTAATGTAAGGCTATCACGAAGAGATCAGAGAAGTACTTCTCTCTCATAGACTAGAGAGAAATCTTGCTACTACCAAGAATCATAAACATTGGAAAGTTAAACATTCTATTTAACTTCTAATCCTCCTGTAGCAAAAGCAACAGATTGCTTTTATCTGGCTCTATTTTTTTGTTTGTTTGTTTTCATTGTAGCATATGATTTACCAATTTATTTATTGGGTTGACCAAACTGTTTGGTTTTAAGTAAAAATAAAAGACACATTTTTCATTTTCACTAAGACTTTTACTGAACCAAGTATTCACTAATCAGGACTTCCCTGCTGGCTCAGCAGTAAAGAATCAGCCTGTAATCCAGGAGACTCAGGTTTGATCTCTGGGTTGGGAAGATCCCTTGGAGAAGGAAATGGTAACCCACTTCAGTATTCTTACATGCGAAATTCCATGGACAGAGAAGCCTGGCGAGCTACTGTCCGTGAGGTCCCAAGAGTCGGACATGACTTAGCAACTAAACAACAATAACAGAAATTCACTAAGCGAAAGAACTTTTTGGTCAACCCAGTATTCTCTGACTCCATCCACTAGAATGTCAACCATTCTACCCCAAGGAACAGTGCCACTGCCTCTTCTGACTCTCCACCCGCAAGCCCTGCCTGACAACTTTCAGCCTCTCTCATTGACCATATAGTCTCAATCCATGCCTTAGTTCCAGTTCTTATCTTTCTTCATTAACCCACAGTTTAGCTTGTTATTCTTGGCCAACTTTTGAGGATACTGCCTCTTCATCTGGAGACCCCTCTAGCTCGGCCTGGAGAAACTTACATCAGAAGAGACCAAATAAAATAAGCAAATGCAGCCTTAACCTATAAGGGCATGCTAACAAAAAAAGTAATTAATGTGTCAGGTAAATATGTTTATTATTTGTCTTTACTCATCATGGGTCATCCAGATGCATATTATAATTATTTTACAATGACAGGCCTCCAAATGCTTAACATTGATTTTTACACTAAACACTTATAAATAAAACTATATATATTCAAATCTTATCACAAACACAAACACAGCATGTATATTTTTTAAATCTTCAGTTCTGTAGCTTTCTTCTGGCTTTTCCTTGATTTTATTAGCCTATTTTGCCTATTCACTACAAACTGCAGCCATTTGAGACCACAGCTTTGAAATTCACTACAAGACTGCACAGAAGTAGAAGTCTATAAATCACATGACTTCACTTGTCTTGAGAACATACAGCTGTAAGATTTGTCTAAAGCAAGATTCATTAGAGCTTTAAATGCCTAGTAACCATTAAGTCTTTATCAAGCCACCTGTGATTTAAACTTACTTCTTTAACAGTGTCTGTAGTCCATAAAGTCGGCTAACTCCTTGCCCATAGGGAAATTACTTTCAATGTGTCTGCTGTTCCCTTTCACTGAATACCGTGATTCTGTCACATAGTTACCTTGGCGTCACCTTGGTGAGCAGCCAACCTCATGATTTCAAAGGCCTATTTAGCTTTAAGCTTTCAACTGCGAGGTAGAAGTGTTTATCTTTATTCCATAGAATCTAATTATATTCCCAGCTCTATAACACTGCCCTTCGTAGTTGAAACTTGCTCCGCTGACCCATCAGCAGCAGGGTATGTGAGCTGAGTCGCTTTTCTTAACAGTGATGATGGATTTGTACTGATCCTCTCATATTCTTTTATATAATTCCTATTTTGAAAATGGTACATATTTTCAATACTGGCTACCCAAGTCAAGGGAGATCATTTGTGGCTGGGGAACAAAGCAAGGCTAACTTTGGAATTTGTTATTTTAAGTGTTTTAGTGACCAAATTATCTGAGAGGAGAGGGAGAGAAAAGGTTTAGAAAGAGTTCATTTTATCAGTGGCCTGAAATTTGAGGGTGGAAAGGGTTTCTGAAAACGTAGGGAATCTTATTTGGTGGAAAACAATACAGTATGACCACATTATTAGAAGTATATTATTAGATGTTTTACAATTGATATTGTGAGTCATAATATTAACCAGTAGCTTAATCACTGAACAGTAAGAAGCTTACAAAGTGATACTTATTATTTCCCTTTTTACTGTTTATGAAGGTTTTAAAATTAAATATTTTTAATTGATTCTTTCTAAGATTAGATTTCATTTCCTCCCTGTTTTGAAAAATAACACATTTCTATTTTTCTATGCATACAAGAGAGGCAAATCCAGAGACTCATATTGAGGAAATATAGAACTGACTTTTTATATGACTTACACTTCTTATTTTTCTATAGATGCCAATTAAATGGATGGCTCTGGAGTGTATACATTATAGGAAATTCACCCATCAGAGCGACGTTTGGAGCTATGGTAAATAATTCTTCCTTGTGTTATAAGTCTTCTAAAGCAAAAATAAACATTTTAGGTTTCTTGGTTCTCCAAAATGTAATATATTAATGTCTTAGTTGAGTTGTCTATCATAACCTTGGCTTTGGTAGCAACTTGTCTAATCATTTGATGAACAAAACAAAAAGCAGCAGTTTTAGATTAGGGACATTTTCATAGACTCCTATGGCCTTCATTTTCAACAGATCTTTGAAAACAAAATTTCAAATGTGATAAATGTTTTTTAAAAAGCATTTTCTTATTGGAATCTAGTTATATAGTAAGAAAATAGAGATTATTCTTAGAACAAATACCAGTTATTGAAAGCAGCAGGATGAGAGCAATAAATGTGAGGGGAGAGATAGATAAGAGAGATGATTTCTAATTATAGCTTTAATTGTAATTTATGAACTACTTTTGGAGTAACAGATATATTAGAAAATTAATAAATGAATGGGAATAGTTATTTTAAAATTTAGAACATTTATTTGCATCTAACAGTTTTTGAGATGAGCTTCTTAGTATGGCTATTTACAGACTTAAGTCCACTAATACTAAGTATTAGTAAGAATAAATCAACACCTTTTCTAAATTTACATAAACTGTATAAAACTAGCACTTCTAACAAGTAAAAAGCTCAATGCTTCTTTAAGTTAAAATGTGTTGGTGAGTCTTTAAAGCATGAAGCAATTTATTTTACTCAAATTTAAGCTTAGGTTTTATTTTTTGAAAGAAGATTAAACAACCTGTATTTTTATCTAAAAACAGTATAAATTATCTTTAAAATATAAGATATTTCTATGGGGTAGTTATTCTTTCTACACCTGTAAACCATATGAGGTGTTAAAATTTTCATGAAGACCTCATATAGTCTACTCAGCTTAGAAGCAGAGTGTTGTGTATTTGAGATTAGGCAAGTACAGGGGAACCCTTGACAAAACTTAATTAAGCTGAAAGGACTAAATTAAAAACAGATATATATCATTATATATAAATCATATACACTTAAATATGAGATAGAAGTAAATATAATTATATTAGCATGTACATAAGCATTTATATATTATATGGTATAGATTAGCATATATATTACATGATAAAGTAGATTTACATATAAGATAGATTTATATAATATCAAATAGATTTTTTTCTTTTCTTTCCCTTTTTTGTTCCTACTTGTTTCCCTGAACTAAATGTGACAATCTACATATTTTAAATGACTTCTAGAATAAGTAAATGCATATATACATTAAAGAAAATATTGGCAGGGCAATCACATTTTTAATAATAAAATTTATCTTTTGAAGAAAATCCTGTTTTAAGGTCATACTATTATTCTTCATGTTGAGTTGCAATATCTCACAATCTGATGGATGGATAGATAGATAAAGTGAACTCTGTTTTGAAACATAGCCCAGGTCATCAACCCGTATCTATAAGGCATTTTAAGATTTTTATTATGTATCATAGTTGGTTGCAAAAGTCACAAAAGGCTAAGAAAGATTCATAGTCTTGTTTACAGTGAATCTACATGGAACATTGCCACTGGGTGCATCTTTACTTTTATAAAAATAAATATACATTGAATATGTTTTCTATCTTCAAATGATAGAATTGTAAGTTTTGAAGATGTTTCTGATTTAGTTTTCTTGAGATTGCTCTTCTACATGCAGCCATCTCTGTTTAACCCTATTTGTCATCAACTCTGCAAAGATATAATTGGAATATTATTGGTAGAAGTGGGGGTTTTTATTTTTCTGCGTCAACTTTTATGTTGATGTGCTTCTGTTTATTGTATTTTCTACTATTTTTATTTGTAGTTGCTTTGTATCTTACTCATAGAAGTTCTGATAGAGATGTGAAAGTACCTATTCTTTTATAATTACAAATATAAGTTAATAAAATGTTATCATTAAATACATGTTCTATAAATATGACAATATAAATAGACAGTAATCTACTTCTTAATTTGTTTCAGCCTTCATCATGAACAATGACTTTTAGTCATCAGTTCTATGAATCATTCTTCAGTATGCAAAATCAAGTAATGTTTTATAAGGCTGGAACAGTTAAATTGCATAACTAATTTACATGTTTATACTATATTTAAGATCCATAAGATGTAAATTTTAACCAAAAAATCAGATTATCTTTAATGATACTATTATGATGAATAATTTGAAGTTTACATATATTTTTATATTTTAAGCTTTGCATTTTTATCAGTCAATGGTAACTGTTATGAGCTAAAAATGACTTCAGCTTGAATAAATAATTCATTACAAATGGCAGCAGGAAAAAATAACCATCATTAATGAATTTTATATTGAAAGATACTTGTATATGCATCAGTTAAAATTCACTTGCTAATACCATTGTATTAGCAGATACAATTTCTGAAGTAATAACCTTTACCCTTAAGAAAACTATAACTATTAAATTACCTAATTATTAGATTATAAAGAGGAGCTCTGTGTATGTTACTGTTCGTATCAGTATCATTATTCTTATCAAAGTTGGCTACTTGCAAGCTAGTGTTTAGCGTATTTGCTTTCACCAAGGAAAGCAATGTTCTAGTGATTCAAGATATTGTTATCTTGAATAACAGTATAGAAATAAACTATTACTGATTTATAGACTATTAAGGATTTCTTTCAATTTGGAGATGATCACTTTACATGCATTTTGTTTTGCATATGAATCATTCTTCAATCAGTCTCTCATATGTGCTAAAGAAATGAATCTGTTTTATTCTACTTGTTCTCTTCACATTAGTTGAAAAGAAAGACACAATTATTTATTGTAACCTAAACATTCTACAACCCTAGCTTGACTCTTAGGACTTTTAATAGCAAAAATGTTAATCTCAAAATTAATCAATATCAGATTTTACCTAATCATATTTGTTTCATATCAGTACACATGTATATAGTAAATAAATTGTTTTACAGGCTCTAATGTGGTGAAACTTAAACTGGGTCAACAAACATTAGTATAATGTAGTAGAAATGGGGAACAGATTCTGTCTTCTGATACCCTCTTTGAACTGTCTCCACTACCCATTGAAATTTTCAGGAAAATGCTAAAAAAATTAAATTCCCCACAAAGATTTTATCGCTGGGCTCCTCATATGGCCATAGGAATCTGAAGAGCCTTTCTTTAGACTATTTCTAATTGCCCTCAAAAAAGCATTCTTTTGCCATGGACATGTTGATGGTTTGCTCATAGTATATTGCTGATGTGCTTATGTGAGAATTTGATCTCTAATTTAGGAGTCACTATATGGGAACTGATGACCTTTGGAGGAAAACCTTATGATGGAATTCCAACCAGAGAAATTCCGGATTTATTAGAGAAAGGAGAACGTTTGCCCCAGCCTCCCATCTGCACTATTGACGTTTACATGGTCATGGTCAAATGTAAGATTGCTAATCAATCTGCACAATTTTTTCTGTGTGTTGAAAAATATAAAATTTTAAAGATCATTGTGAAAGGAGAATATAAACACCTGTCTTTGTTGCAATTCTTTTTAATATGAAACAGTATCATGCTTTTATACTATGAAGTCAACATTATATGATTCTTATAATTCCTATTTATTTCACTTTGATTCTTATCACTTCTATACATTCAGCTTGTTTCTCACAAAGGGATGTAATTAATCACAATAATGTTAATAATCTTTAAAGGAAAAAAAGCAGACTAAACAAATCATCTACACATAAGGAAAAAGAAGCTTGAAGCTAATCATTTAAAAAGATGAATTAAATGGAAATGAGTTTACCAGTCTCAGTCAACAGGAAATTAGCAAGGCAGAGTGGGAAGTGGAAAGGCATGAATATATACTGAACTGAAAAGATTGTGAATATTTACTTTTTTTCAGTTAAATCATTTGTTTACATCTAACTCTCTTATTTTTCTTTCTCCCTTCTGTGTCCCAGACACATATGTGTTATAAATGTGTTTTGCAAGCCTAGGCTCTTAATTTAAATAGAATTAGAGAAGTCTCTGGAGTTTCTGAATTAATTTAAATGAGATTAGCATTCAGCAATCTTTCTTGTGTAATCTGGGGCTTTCCCCTTTTGATTTACACAGGGTTAGCAAAGAAACAAACTGGTGAAGGTGAATAACCATCTTATTAGTAAGAGACTTTGGACCCAGGTCTACTCAGATTTATATTCATGACATGTGTGATGCATTCTGACAGTGAGGGAAGAAATAAAAAATGTGCTTTTCAGTTTGGGTCAGCATGCCCTTTTCTCTGAACGTAGTTCTATTTACTCAATATTTAGTTAGAAAGAAACTGATACCTCACTGAGAATTTAACCTTTTAGGTTCCCATAGAGTTCCAGAAACACTGATTTTCTCATTAGCATCTTGGTATCAAAAACATTTTTTTTAATGGTTGCATATAAAATATAGAGCATTTGAGCTTTGTTAGGAGAGAAAAAAAATCAAGTAATATTAATGGCAGCCAAAGACTTCCCATAACAAGAATAAGAGTTGAATTACCAGAAACAGAGAAACAATTTTTATAACTTTATTAGGTCAAACATTGTTTGGTAGTCATCTATGGAAGAGATTGTACAAACATACATGCATTGCATAACTTGATCCCATAACTAGAGTGAGATGATTTAGATAGTTCATTTAGATGCTCCAATAAAATAATGAAAAATCAGGAATACATTTTTGCAAAATAAGGACTTTTACCTCGCTTTGAGAAGTTTTAGTATCTAAGAAAAGGGTCATTTGGCAGTAAAATCAAGGAAAGCTTGGTACTTTTATTATTGTCATTTCATCAGTTAAATAGAGCCTGGGGAGATAAGACCCACTTTATCTAGACTCCCAGCTAAATAATAATACATACCGTGAAAATTGCTGACAGTGTTTTTATGCTGGAAAGGCTAATACTCAGATAAGCGAATGGCTATTGCTCAACAAACATTGCCAATCACTTTGCATTAGTTGTTTTACCCACCAGGAAAAAAAAGTAGCATAAGAAAGTTGCTTTCGATTCTTTTCTTCACTTTTATGCCAGTGTATCACATTGTAATCAAAATTTTTAATCCATGTCACTCCTGATATAAACTGATAAATTATATTCCAATCTCACCTTCTATACACATCAAAGAACAGTTTTTTAAAAAACTTCTCTTTACACATAATGAGAAAAGATCTGAGATTTCTTAAGTTCCTATGGTTAGCCTAGGTTATATTTTCTATGATGAAAAAGTTAATTTTAGATTATATCAACAAGATAAAAAGCTTGTGTTATTCCTTATTGCATGTAGTTATGAATATCAGTAAACTGATTGTGAGACTCTCACCTATTGAATTATTTCTTTCATTAGTTTTCTTTGTTTTAATTAATATTAAAATAATATTTTTCAAACTTAACCTATATTTTTGTAAAATTTACATCCCACTTCTTCCTAATTATGGATATAGTGACTTTTATTGCTTGTGAATTTCTAGGTTGGATGATTGATGCTGACAGTAGACCTAAATTTAAGGAACTGGCTGCTGAATTTTCAAGGATGGCTCGAGACCCTCAAAGATATCTAGTTATTCAGGTTTGTACTTTTGACTTAGGTTTTTGAGAAGATCACAATGGAAAGCTCACTACAAAATAGTTATAACATCTGAACTTTCGAACTGTGAATATCACCATTCACAAACTGATTAACTAAGCAGAACATCATGTGAAATGACTTTTGCTTGTCAGAACCACTTCTAAGCATTTTCCCTTAGCACTTAAGTGCCTCTGCTATTGATTTGTCAGATAATTATGATTATTCATGTGCATAAAAAGGCCTTTATCCTCAGACAAGCCTTGAAGTACTCTACTAGTTACATTCATTGTTATAATTGTCTCTTCTTGGAAAAAAAAGAAAATAAATTTTCATTTTCATTGTGTCCATGGTTGAAGGCAGTGAATTAGAAGTTTAGATATATTGACATTTCATTTCCTAGAAAAGTATTTTAAAATATTTTTATGTAAAAAATAATATCTCAATGCTCAGTATCTCAAACAATAGCTCAGATTCAGATGAATTAATATACATAGATAAAATAATAGACCACAAGAACATTTTATATGTAACACTTCAAAAAATGGATTTGATCATTTAAATTTGCAGTAAATTTTGTTGTGAATATTTTGCTTAAACCATAAGCGAATAGTCTGGATAACACTGAGTTAAGATTTCTCAATAAGACAGAGAAGTGTTTATCTTCATATTAATAGTCTGACATGAAGATAAAAGTCACATTTTAGCAGACAATGATTTCTATCTAACTTTTTCCCAAATTAACTCTGATTTTTAAAAATGTTTACAAAAATATCAATAACTTAAATTTTTAAATTCTGTTTAAGAAATAGATGAGGTAAGAGAGTAACAATTGTTTTCGTGTTTCTCCCACTCCCATTTATGTTCTTTTCCATGTTTGCTGTGATTTTGAATGATACGACCTTCATAACATTATGCTGCAGAACAAATCATGGATACTTTGTGTCCTGATAGCTTTGCACTATCAACCAACCAAATATAATAAAGATTGATAAGTTCATTGCTCTTTCTTTATTATTTACTCTTAAAGTCACAGTTCAGACACCATCTTGACAATGAAACCTTCCATTATTATCAGATCTAAAATGGATTATGCCTCTCTAAAAATAGCCGTAGCATTCTGCTTTATTCATCTCAAATGGCATTTATCAGATTTTTGTTGTATTGAATTTATTTATGTTTCACTGTAATATCTATATACATTTTAGGCTTCTATATGGCAGGTAATTGTGCTAAATAATTATTTTTTAATGAGTGCATGAATTTGCAATGATTTTGATATTATATAAATTTGCTGCAAACTTCACATATTTACTTTCACATATTTAAGATGAAGGAAAGAATCATTTTTGTGTGTGTATCTGATGGGCAATTTTTTAGGGTGATGATCGTATGAAGCTTCCCAGTCCAAATGACAGCAAGTTCTTTCAGAATCTCTTGGATGAAGAAGATTTAGAAGATATGATGGATGCTGAGGAATACCTGGTCCCTCAAGCTTTCAACATCCCTCCTCCCATCTATAGTTCCAGAGCAAGAATTGACTCAAATAGGGTAAGAAGTAACTATATACCACTTCTCATATTATTTCTGAGAAACAAAATCATGGAAATACTCTGTAAGCACTAAAATTACCAAATAATATAGCTCAAATCAGTGTGATTCCTAAATTAAAAGCAAGTTTTATCAACAAAAGATACGCCAAACTTGCCGTATATAGTTAATTTTGGAAGACAAGCATGGGCAATACAATGTGCACTCTAAAATATCTTCAAGATTGCAAAAGGAGAAATTTTTTTTTGTCTTAAATTTAGTTAAAACAAATCTCAATTTTTGAAAATCTATCACCAATTCAATGAATAAATCTGTATGTGTTTATAAATAAATGAAAATTCTTCCTAAGATAGGCTCTCTCCTTTTTTCTTAATAAAATAACATGACTTATTGGTCAAGAGACAATACAAGTACAGCTCTTTATTTAGCAGACATTGAATTCTGTGAGGTCGAAGTAGAAACAGAACACTGTGCAATCCTTTGGACTAAATCAATCATCTTGATAGGGCTTCTGAATCATTTCTAAGATGCAGATTTAAGTTTTGAAAGAAGCTTCTGAAAGGAATTTCCATTTCATGTTAAATATTAAGTCCACTCTATGTGAATAGCATTTTTCTCTGAAAACTATAAGTCCATGCATTCATTCATTTATTTTTTGAAATTTGTTCATCACTCCTTCAACATTTATTGAATACTTCTGCATTACTAGACAATTGAAATTCAAAAAGTTTGACATAATTACTACTTTCAAGATGTACCAACTTTGACAAAAGAGTCACAAAGATATAGAGACAGAATGCCACATGATTGTGTTATAATCAAGTGTTCATTGGCCGTTATGGAGCATAGAGAAGCCTGTGATAAGTTTCTTCAATTGAAAAGACATAAGCATGATGCTTACTTATTTTCTAGAAAGTAATTCTTTTCTTTTGATCTCCTCCTCCCTCTAAGAATATTATCATAGCTTGTGGAACAAACAGCATCCTATTTGTCTTGACCATAAGCATACACCCATTCCAGTATTCTTGCCTGGGAAATCCCATAGACAGACGAGACTGGAGGGCCACAGTCCATGGGGATGCAAGAGTTGGACACAGCTTAGTGACCAAACCCCTACCACAGTAAGCATAACAAGCTTTCAACTTGCTACTCATTATCCAAAACAAAGTCACTTACTTTATTTCAAACTGACAATGGTAATAAACCTCGTGCTTACTATATGTCAACACATACATATTTACTCTCAATCCTTACAACAATCCCATGAGGTTCTAATATCATTATCTCTGTCTTACATATGAAGAAACTTGTCACAGATTTAAGGACTTGATGGATGTCACCCAATCAGTAGAAGTTCAGGATCCTAATGTGTACAGTCTCTCTGTACTATTCATACTATTGCTTCCACGTGATTGGAACATGTTCTTTTCAATACAGTTGTTTCTCTTGGCATCAACCAAGATGTTGAGGTTTCAACATCTGAAATACATGTCGTTTGGAAAGCTCCCTAGGTATTTTCTTATAAAATGCATCTCCCAACCTGGCCCATACGTTTTCTTCCCTCCATCCTCATAAGGTCTGTTATAGAAAGAGGCAAATATAAAGACTTGAAGTATTTTTTCCTTTATATGAAAAATATGTCTGTAGCTCAGTAGAGAGGAGACAGAACTAAAAAGTTTAAGATTAAATCAACTGATAGATATTGAATATCAGTATTTTGTTTATGTCAAGGAACAATATCTTTGGGACTTTCTTAGTGGTCCAGTGGCTAAGATCTGCATTCCCAATGTAGGGAGCCTAGGTTCAATCCCTGATCAGGGAGGTAGATAACACATACTGCAGTTAAGAATTCAGCGCTGCCAAATAAATAAAACATTTCTTTAAAAGAAGGAGCAACATCTTTACTGTGTGTAAAGGAGGTACTTTTTTTCACATATAAAATGATCAAATCATAACTGAATTTATAATTTTACATGACAAATTTGTTACTTTTATTAAAACAGGTAAATTTCAAGAAAATAGTTTTCCTTCATTAACATGAAATGTTATAAAGGCCAAGGGCTTGAATCTTTCTTTTTATAATGATTATAAAATTCCAGCTTTCTGTTCATTTTAATTTACACTCAGTGCAAGGAATTCATAATAAAGGTTTGAGTTAACTGAATGGAATTAGTAAAACAAAGTGAAAAACCACATGAGAAATTATTTGGCCTTTAGTCACCATTTCTTATTCCACATTATTATTTAAACAATGTTATCTGTATATTTCTTTTTACTTTTTCATGTCTTTGTTAAAAGAATTGTTCTTAAATATAATTTTATTTTTAGGCATTAGAAAGCCTCATTATTCATCTATATTTTTCTATTTTTTCAGTGGTAATTTCAAATATGTGAAAATACTGTTTTCCCCCTACTTTCTTATAAAGCTAGTTTGTCTTATTTTATAGTTAAAAAATAAATTCGATTTTAGGTTCTGTGGCCAACTTACATGGTAAGAGAACATTTTAAAGTAAATTTTAATCAAAGGTTGTTTTGAGCATGTTTGTTGGACTTTGAAACCAAAAAGTAATCCAGTGTTTAAATACAGACTCCCTGCTCACTAGCTGAGAGGCTTAAAGTTCTGAATATCTTCACAGCTTTTCTTCTTCATTTGTAAAATAAGCACAATAGTATTTACATGATTGTTAGGCAGTGCAAAAAATTGCAGCATATCTGAAGTGCTAGGCAAATACTTATTACCTTCTTTTAGAATCACCCAAATCTTATTTTTAGTTGTTTCCTTGTCAATATAATAAACTATTACATTCTTTCTATAAAATTCTCTACACATTATCTATGAAAAACCCATTGATACAATCACTGCTTGACAAGCAAATTATTTCAGATGATGGGTTCTTATAGCAAATAAGTTATGAAAGTTATTTTTATTATGCTTCTCATTATTTCAAATTCTATATATATTTTGATAAATTATAATCTTAATGCATCAGCTAAAAATACAGTGTTGATATTTATCCAGCAAGGTGATAAAAAAAGGCAAATAATGCTAGAAAACATTCAGCTAATTTATATTTTTTTTATTGTTGTTAGATATACTCTTGATATTATCTCAAAGACTTTAATCAAAATAATATACCCAAAACACTTACTTTAGCATGAGGTAAATATAAAAACATGAGAAGCTTATCTAAACTTTTGCAAACTTAAGTTCTCTGTATCTATAAAATGGGGACAAAAAAATTCCTCAAAGGATATTGTGAAGATTGACTTTTTAATATATCTAAGCATATTGTCCATTGATGGATTGTAGTAGGTACTCAATTGAGTTGAAGTAAATGAAAATCAATTATTTGTTCAGAGCTCATTATATAGCAAGGGAGTTTCTGCCTCTGTCGTTTGTGTTTTGGGAGAGATATTGGTTTCTCAGGTGGAGCTAGTGGTAAAGAACCTCCCTGCCAATGCAGGAGACATAAGAGACACAGGTTCTATCCCTGGGTATTCTTGCCTGGAGAATCCCATGGACAGGCAAGCCTGGCAAGCTATGTACAGCCCATAGTGTCTCAAAGAGTCGGACATGATTGAAGTGACTTAGCACGCACACAAGGATAGAATAGGAAACCTTTACCAGTTCAGTTGCTCAGTTGGGTCCGATTCTTTGTGACCGCATGGACTGAAGCATGCCCAGGCTTCCCTGTCCATCACCAATTCCCTGAGCTTGCTCAAACTCATGTCCATCGAGTCAGTGATGCTCTCCAACCATCTCATTCTCTGTCATCTGCTTCTCCTCCTGCCTTCACTCTTTGCCAGCATCAAGGTCTTTTCCAGTAAGTCAGCTCTTCACATCAGGTGGCCAAAGTTTTGGAGCTTCAGATTCAACATCAGTCCTTCCAATGAATACCCAGGACTGATCTCCTTTAGGGTGGACTGGTTGGATCTCCTTGCAGTTCAGGGGATTCTCAAAAGTCTTCTCCAACACCATAGTTCAAAAGCATAAATTCTTCAGCACTCAGCTTTCTTTAGAGTCCAACTCTCACATCCATACATGACCACTGGAAAAACCACAGCTTTGAGTATGGTTTACTTTACTTTGTTGGTAAAGTAATGTCTCTGCTTTTTGATATGCTGTCTAGGTTTATCATAGCTTTTCTTCCAAGGAAAGCTTGGAAGAAAAGTTTGTCATAGCTTTTCTTCCAAGGAAAGCTTGGAAGAAATGTTTGTCATAGCTTTTCTTCCAAAGGGGAAACCTTTATAGCGGAGACAAAGGAAGCCTTCAGGTATAGCCTGATTGAAGGCTATTGGTTTGGGGAATCAATAAAAGGGCTAATGTAAAGCAGGGCATCCTGTGGAGTGGTATGCATATTTAGCTTTCTCTGGTTGGCTCTAAATTGAAAATGAGGACCAAAATTAGAGAAGCTGCTAGTTATTAATGAAATCCTGGTCACTTAGGGTCAATTGTTAACAGAAGTTATTATTTTCCTTCCTGGATTGTGACTAAAGATAATAATCAAACTTCCTGAGAAGTCTGATTTATAGTTGACTGTCTTCCTGGGCTGTTTATTCTAGCTATGGTTTCCTGGGCATGTTGCTATAAGTATGAATTAGACTGCTGGGTTCATATTTGATCCTGCCATTGTCCTTTATATATTCAGTCTATCAAGAGGTTTTAGGTTCCCTCATTCCTTTCTTTTCTCTTGATATATTTATTTAAATGCATAGTGCCTTATATTTTCAATCAAATATTCAATATGATTTTGGACTTTCTACACAGATTTTTTTCTGTTTACATGGGTAAGTTTTGTCTCTTTCTTTTGAGTTACCTAGATTTATGTTTGTTTAGTATCATGAGTTGGAGAAGGCAATGGCACCCCACTCAAATACTCTTGCCTGGAAAATCCCATGAACGGAGGAGCCTAGTAGGCTACAGTCCTTGGGGTCGCGAAGAGTCAGACCTGACTAAGCGACTTCATTTTCACTTTTCACCTTTATGCATTGGAGAAGGA